TTTCACACAAACTAATACAGTAGTTGTTTCACAATGTTCATTTAAAAATTTCCAATTTTTTTTGTAACACACTGTATTTTTATTTTTATTTTCAAAATTCATGTATTAATATTCATGCCACCAATCTATTTATTTATAGGAAATTTCAGATATACAGTGTGTTTCAAAAAAAACCAGAAAATTATTGTGCTGGAAAATTTTTGTAACTTTTGCTAAAAAAACAATCCAACTTGTTTCAAATAAAATTTAAACAAAGATTTGCTTTTAAAGTTATTTTAAATCATTTTCTAACTGAATCTGATGTTTAGTTTTTGAGTAATTAGCTTTTAAAATGTGCAATGACCACCAATAGACCATCAATGGACTGCACATTTGCCAACCCTGCCATGATATCATCACACAGAACACTGTTTATATTTTAATTGAGACTTTAACTTGAAGAATTCCTAATTCTTTATAGACGGTTTTCTCTCATAAACCTAGACATCAATAACAGCCTCTTTCCCATTATACAAATTCTCTAATAATTGACCTTTCCGAAGTTAAAACCAAAAATTTGCTATCTAATTTAATATTCCTACTTCTCATGATCAACTTGATTAATGTTACGAGTCAAACTCTTTATTTAAATATACAATCTTGACTCGGAGATGTTAACAAGAAAATTACTACCGTTATACTAGGAACTTGGTAACAAAAGTTTTTCACACAGTCAGCTCTTGTCAACGAAAATACATTATTGTTTAATAAATTTTCATTTTTAATCCTTACCTTAAATTAGTATTTTTTGAAAAAATGTTTAACAACAAACGAAGTATTGATGACAGAGTTAAAGAACATGACGTGAAGTTGAAGATTCAGCAATAGACGAAGCCCGTTATAGTATAAACAATTAGATTTTCTATTCTTAAAAGCTTTCTTTTAGAATCAGTTGATGTGCTAGTTATATAGAAACTTAAATCATCTCTATCATCGTTATCTTTATTTATGTTAAACAGCCAATATAGTATTGCTGTCAGCGCATAATGTCCATCTAATTGGATTGCTGGTAATATGTTTAGTACACAGAGTGCCAGTGAAAATGACACTGTATATCTATTTGAGTTATTTATTTTATCAAATTTTTAATTAGAGATTGTTTGGTTTAATTAATTAGAATATTGGTAAATTAATTACCTCATGATCAATTCTGTTGACATTGGTATCCATAAAGGCACCCATGACCATCTAGATTGAAGAATACCAACTTGTACTATTATCATTATCATTATCACAGTAATTATAATAATAGTTAATTGATACATAAATATAATGTAAATAAATACAACTCAATGTATATATAAACAACAAAAGAAATTAATTACCAATTTCCCATACAACTTGTAAATCACCCATGTATAATAAAACGTTTTCTTGATCGTTATTTTGATTAATCCAAGGCGAGTCTCTATAATATATTCTTAAAGGTCTAGGGAATCCAGCAGGCATATATGGTAGCACACATAATGGTGAATTAGATATTGTTGAACAATCAGAAGCTTTTGTACAACGTTGTTCATTAATATTGACAAGAATTGGTCTTGTTGGTAGACAAACAAGCTTCTATCAAAAAAAAATATTATAAATATAATTAATCTCACACACACACACACACACACACATATATCGTATAGATAGATACCAAAGGATGTAGATCTTTTTTTTTGAAACATGAGATAGAATCATTTTTCGAATTTCCATAAGGATGTTCAAATGAGATTTCACAACAATCTAAAGAATTTGTTACGTCTTTTTCTGAAGCACAGAATCCATTATTATTGATTTCTATTTTATCATTATTTAACAAGTAGTTTGTCCAACTTTCCAATGATGGATAATTTAAATCGTAGTCATCTAACTTTGTTATTAAACTTGAAGGCATTAAAAAATTATGTAAAGGTGTGTCCTAAATTAAAGAAAAGTGCATGAAATAAGTCTATATTTCTTTTTATACAAGATAAGTTACAAACACGCACACTCATATATAATAATGAAAAATACTTTTTCAACTTCGACCACATTCACACCAATTCCATCCACAGACTTCCATGCAGTAGCACTTGAAAGTATTTTTATAACGCCAATATTCAACAATAAAGTCCCTAACAGAAATATAATTGCATTATGCCATACTCCAGCACAAATTATTCGAAGTTGTCTTATAGGCGATAATGTTTTTATCGTTCTTAAAGGAAGATTTACAAATGCTCCAGGGTATAATACATATAAAAATATCCCAGTTGATTTTATATGCAATGATTCACTAATGATAAATCCAATATATATATATAATTGACACAAAATAGTTACACCAACGAATACTAATGATAATAATAATAACTACTTACTTTATTGCAGAAATTGCATGACCAGCCTCATGAATCATTCCACAAACTAAAAGTGCTATGAGATAATAAGCAAGATGTGAAATTGGTAAAGTGATACCAGGGATCTATTTGTTTGAAAAATAAAAATAAATATATATAAATCATCACTTGAATGCTAATTTCCAAGTGTGCGAGTGATATGATTACATACTACGGGTGTAAATACTTGGTGATCTTTTTTTTCCAATAAATTATTATTATTATAATCTTCTAAACCTCTTTTTCTCAATCTTATATTTGATCCATCTGTCGTTGAAGAATTTACAAATAGTTTTGTTGACGTTGAAGATATATCAGTGTCCAACACAACATTTGAAAACAACTCTATTAAAAGTTTCCAGCTGGCAACCATTATTACACCAACACCAATTATCATAACGCATATTCCAACAAATGCACCAATATTAAACCATATTCTCCAAAATCTAGGTGTTTTTTTTGCTATTGATGTAAAAACGGGATTTAAGATCGTTGTGGTTAGTCTTATACTAAATGGTTTTGAATGTATAACAGTGTAATTTTTTTGTGAACGAAATCTTGGTAGTGGAGTGCTGTGGGCGGCTGATCTAACCGAGTTCGCTAATGGTTGCTACCAACAAATAATGCATTTATATTTATTAAAAAAAAAATATCAATAGTAGTAATTTTTGCGTCGAGTGTAGATACCTTTAATTTTTGTTGCAGAAAATAAGTTATAAGATGAAGAATAAACCAAAAACTTAAGAAAGTTATTGTTAATGATATCATCATTTATCTAATTTATCTATTTATGAAATAATGAGTCTAAATTTGTACCCCAATTTCAAGTAGGTGATATCAATTTCTTCTTTACCATCACTAATTTTTCTTTGAATAATATTATTAATGAACTTTCAAAATAATTTATTTGTTAACAATTTATCCCTTCATAAAATTTTTACTTTTAATGAGGCGACAACAAATTTATAATTGTTCTTCTTTTTCTTCTTCCTTACAAATTGTTATTAATACCACTATGATTGAATCCTCATATATATCTTCTTCTTCGTCTATTGCTGAATCTTCAACTTCACGTCATGTTCTTTAACTCTGTCATCAATACTTCGTTTGTTGTTAAACATTTTTTCAAAAAATACTAATTTAAGGTAAGGATTAAAAATGAAAATTTATTAAACAATAATGTATTTTCGTTGACAAGAGCTGACTGTGTGAAAAACTTTTGTTACCAAGTTCCTAGTATAACGGTAGTAATTTTCTTGTTAACATCTCCGAGTCAAGATTGTATATTTAAATAAAGAGTTTGACTCGTAACATTAATCAAGTTGATCATGAGAAGTAGGAATATTAAATTAGATAGCAAATTTTTGGTTTTAACTTCGGAAAGGTCAATTATTAGAGAATTTGTATAATGGGAAAGAGGCTGTTATTGATGTCTAGGTTTATGAGAGAAAACCGTCTATAAAGAATTAGGAATTCTTCAAGTTAAAGTCTCAATTAAAATATAAACAGTGTTCTGTGTGATGATATCATGGCAGGGTTGGCAAATGTGCAGTCCATTGATGGTCTATTGGTGGTCCATTGGGTCCATTGGGTCCATTAGTGTAATGCTTTAACCATATTTAGTATTTTATTAATGGCAATGGACCAATCTGTTCTCAATGGACCAGTCAATTTGCCAACCCTGTATCATGGATAAAACCATCATTGATCTTTGTTGATTTTATAAAAACATACAATTTAGGAATCTAATGAATAGAATTCTTATAACCTTGTGGGTGTTCACACAGCATTTTTACTTTTTTTTTTTTTGAAATTCCACATAAAAGTAGTGATGCTAGCCAGTTAATGATCTTCGTGCATATTTTCTAAATTTGGTAATATATTTCTGCGTTACTTTCTTGTTATAGAAATCAAATTACCAATTTAGGTAGTAAACGGCTTAGCCGGCTAACATCACTACATAAAAGTTGGATTTTAACTTTTATTTCTAAATAACTTGTTAATCAAAACTCTTAAGCATGTGATCCACTTTTACATTTATAACAACTAAAAGAATTACTAATGCAGACATTACTGGTAGTATTGGGATTATTGGCTGGAAGATGGTATTATTGTAATGAACGACTGGCTTGAATCTAAACATTTTAGGATAAAGCAACATAAAATCAAAACACAATAATGACATAATATAGAAGTGAGTGTTGTAATAATATCTGAACAGTGAACATAATGAAATCAAACGAAACAAAAAATTTACCAGACTTGCATACAGATGGAAAAATGAGGATTGCCTAGAGATGGGCAGATCAGTACTATACATATAGTGCATATAGTTCTAGAAAAATATAGTAGTAAATGTAAATCAATTCCTGTTTAGGTTATTGCCAAATAATACTCTTCTCATGATATATATATTTTAAACTTGCCTGCAATTTGGCAACATTTTAATATTAACTTTCTAGTTCAATATCTAGATGTGAAAAACATTTATGTCTTTGTCCAAATGCCACAATTCAAATTAAAAGAAATTATTTTGGAGAACATTTTAATACTTCAAATACTAGTAGTGTACAACATAATTGAAATTTCATCAAAAAAGCTGATGAAAATTTTATTGAAGAATCAAATAAAAATGAAAGCAGTTTTGATTTTTATGATATTTAATTCATTCAATATAATTAATGATTCATAAATAAAACCTAAAAAAGTGTAGGTTGAATAAATTAAAGATTTATGCTTATCGTAATAGCCAAATTATTTTTTTTTCTTATTATTTGAAAATCACCCAATCAAATTTCAACACTACTATACGTACTATACGCACTATATGCACTATATGTAAAGTATTGTAAAGTATCATCTAGTGTTCAACTATATGCCATTTGCCCATCTCTAGGATTGCCCTGGAATAGAATAAACTTATGGAAAAAGGCATTGAAGAAGTGTCAATACTGCTAGATAGATTTTCCTTGGTTGTACCTATATTATATAATAATAAGATCATGTTACAGAAAGTGTTGGCCATATATACCTCTGGTATTAGCTTGGACTTTGCCAGAATTATTAAGAGAGAATAATTGTGGTTTACAATCCCCCAAAAAGGTTTAAATTAAAGACCAATTTGAAAATAATATTAAAGATGAGAGAATAGAAGTAGAGAATTCGACACTACTCAAATTCATCATGTTCATTCTCAGTGGCAACTCCTTGGTTACCAATTATCCTAGCATACCCACTGATTCAATCAGATATTCCTATAGGAACAAATATCTTACAGTACTGTCTCCACATGGACAATCATATTGCATTATCATTCAGCATTAAAGGAGAAAATGATGCATATGTTCGTTGGCTTATTCATGCACTATTTTGACTTTTTTAGTAATTCAAGACCATTATGAGTAATAGTCATAAAATTTGTAATTCGTTCTTGTATATTTTATTAATAAAATTAATTTTATCTAAACACCTTTTAACCATGTAATCAAGCAGACCTGATACTAAGTGGCAAGATTGTCCATAATATCCAAAATATTGATTTGGAATGTCTCTATAAATGCATCAAATAGCATTAAAAATTGTGGGTACAGATTGCTCATACAGAGAGTGTCTCAGAAGAATTTGTCTGGTGCAGAAGGAGACTTTGGAAAGAGCCACTCAATTATGTTAGGAATAGTGGAACATGGCATTCTGAAATACCTTTAGGCCTGGAGAATTTATGGTTGGCTATCCTTTTTTAAAGAAACAAAATATTTATTATTTCACTTTGATAAAGAAAGCTAGCTAGCAATTAAATAAATAAAATTATTATTGTTGTTGTATAAATCAATCAATTAATTATTAATCTTTTGATTTTTCGTTAGTAAAAATCTTTTTAATATCATTTATAGAAGAATCTAATTTTTTCTTAGTTTCTTCTGTTGTAGAAGAAATTGAATTATGAATTTTTATAACTTCAGGATAACCTTTTTCATATTCTTGAAGTTTTGATGCAATGTTTCTTGAGGTTTTTGGTAAAAAATAATATGATGATGAGACAGTAAATAACAATGGACTAATTATTCTAACCAAAATATTACCTTTAATATATTATTTAAAAATAAGATTATTATTATCTTTGATTTTGTTAGAATATTTAAAATTTCAATTGAAAATATTAAACTTACTGTTTCTTGCTACAATTGTACCAGCTAAACCTGCAACTGCAATGTATAAAACATTTGGCATTAATTTCTCATCAGGAGAGATTACTTCTTTCAATAATTCTGATATTATTGGTAGCAACAATATTATTATTAACAAATATATAGATATTATCATAATATATTTCTATTAATACAAATGATACTATTCATACTTTCTGCATGTTTTTCTTTCTCTATCCATTTATCCGTAATATTATTTATCTTTTTCTATTCATAGAAGAAATATATATTAATAAACACTTTGAGAAAAATATTTAATGATTTAATTAATGGATTTAAAAATAGCAAAACTATTATTAATATTTACTTCCAATTCTTTAGAAGATTTTATTATTTTAATCCTTGTATCTCTAATGCTCTCTTCTAATTTAGTTGATGTTTCCACCAAAACTATTTCTGGTTCCTCATCATCATAAATTTTTAACTAAATTAAAAATATATACAAACATATACATATATAAAGTTTTTATTAACTTTACTATTTTTTCATCAAAAAAAAAAATACAAAGGATTAATATTAATTAAATAGTTTTTACTTTTTTAGGATTTTGTTCTTCTGCATAAACTGAAGCATTTGAAAACATTAAAGTTGTTACTCCAGCCGCTCCAATAGTTCCGGTGACAAAAGAATTCTTATTGAAAAATTAATTTTAACATTCAAAATAATCTAATAATTTTTAAGAATTTAATTCATTCTAAAATTACCTTCTGTACACGTTTAAACACGCCAAAAACTCTTGGTAATCTATTCATTATGAAAAAAAAGAATTGATGTTTTTTTCCAACAAAAAATAGTTTTTTTTAATCAGCAGCTGTCACATGATTAATTTTACCTTTTTTCCCCCAAAAAAAACTTTTAAAAATGCCTCCGTTACCAGTAAATGTTACAACACTTCCAACAGTTTTCATAAATGCTATACTTGAAAACGAGCAAAAAATAAACAATGATCCAAATTCTTTAATAACAAAAAACAATGATCAAGATCAAGATCTGCTGAATTCGTTTAATGCTGATCGAGAAAAAATATTTGCGTGTATACAACGAATTGAAGATAAAATAAAAAGTTTGAAGGTTTTTTAAATTGTTACTATAATATTTGTACCTTTTTTCTTTTTCAATAAAAAAAAATTTATTTTGGATTTTGATAATTAAATAATTGATTGCACAAACTTTTTTTTAACAAAATATAGAAAGATGTTTTAAAGACAATTCTTATTCGTAAAGACAAATTTGCAAAGTTATATAATAATTCTATAACTTTTAGAGATAGAATTGATAATCTATTCTTGGAAGTTGATGAAGTTCATAAAAAAATTCATTCATCTGAGGTATTCTACAAAAATCATATCAACTGGATCTTATCTAAATAAAAAAATTGATCTTAATATGTTCAACAATTATAATTAAATTTAGAATGGCTTGAAACCAAAATTATTGATGGCACTTCATCAACTTCACACAATAACTCAAGAACTTCAAAATACTGCATCACTAGTGGATGTGTTAAATTATTTAAACGAGGTGAAGATATATATAATTTTAAGAAACTTGATGATTATTGTTAAGTTTTAATTTCTATTGATAATATTTTATAAAGATACAAATATTAATGAACAAAGTTCAAGAATATATGAAACAAGGTAGGATTGAAGAGGCAGCTGGTAGCATCAATGAGATGGTATGTTTAATTACTTAAATAATTAAATGACTGGTTATTAACTAGACGGGATATTTTTTGGTAAAGGCTTATTATTGACCTCAAATACTTTATTTTTAGGATAGATTATTAGAATCTCCGCCAATAAAAACAGAAAGACAAGTTTATATTTTTGATAAATTAAAGGTCTGTAAAAATAGATATTTTATATTTTAGGTAAATTATATTTATTAAAATGGAAATAGTGACTTTGATTTAAATTATCCAAGTTATATAAAATATATACAATATTGATTTTTAGTGTATTATAATGTTTGAATTGATATTTAAGATTAAGGAATGTTTACTTAAAAAATCAATTTTTTTATTATAAAATACACATGTGCGCACGATGTTTATTAAAACAGACGCAGTCATCTATTATGAAGGAGACGTTGGATCAAAATCTTGATGATTTTTTAAATCATGCAATTTCTTTTAAAAAATATGAGGATAAAGAAGAGATTGTTCTCACAGTTTTATCTTCCATAGAAAGTAGGTTACGAGATTTATTATTTAATAATTATTCACATCTATATTCGTATTTATACTTATGTTTATGTGTAACCTCACAACAGATGAAAATTTTACTATTCTTTTGACATCAATATTTGTTTCATTAACTGAGATTGATTCGATCAACATGCAACTATCAAGATTAAAAAAAAATGTCATGAAATATCTGATTAGCCCTTTAATGAAAAATAAAGATTCTTGGAAAGTATCAACAAAAATTGAAGATGATGATACAACCGCTAAATTAATAATTGGTCCTAATGTCGATAATTTTGATTATGATAAGGACTCTTCTAATAATAATGATGATGGTAGTGGTGATGACGAAGGTAAAAAAAATCAATCAAATATTTAATAATTTATTTATGCATAAATTTAAAGATACGAATTTGATAATTTTTTTGTTTTATTATAGATAAAATCTTTATACTTTTAATTAGCATATTTAAATTCATCTATACATTTATATTTGGTGGATTGGATCCAATGTCAAAACGAACCACCATATTACCTGTTGCAAATGGATACGCATCAACATTTGGAAAATTTATTTCACATGATTTACGTGACGTTGTTATCAATGAATATCTTTCTAATGTCATACCAACCGAAACATCCGAATTTAAAAGATTTGAAAAAGTGGCCAGCTCAGTAAAAGAATTTCAGAATGAAATGCGTAAAATGGGATTCATGCGTCAACTTCATAGTAATTCAGATGAGGAGGATGAGGATGAGAGAACACTAGGTGCTTATGTTGCTAAAGTTGACATACATTTTACTGTTAAAAAACGTGACAAGATGTTAGAATCTGGACGGGAGATAATTTTAGATGGCGATTTTGATAGTATAATTGTCGATAATGAAGGAGAAAAGGCATTAGGATTAGAAGATAAAGAAGATAAAGAAGATATAGTTGATAAAAACGAAACTTTAGACAAAAAACAAACCCCAGCTGATAATCAACAAAAACAAAAGCAAGACGAAACAATTTTTAATGATGAACCGACTGAAGGATGGGATGTTGATTGGAATGAGACTTGGAATGAAGATGATGCTAATGGTGTTAATAGTGATAACTTAGTAAAGGAGCCAGAAAAAATAATTGATCGATATTCCATAACAAAAAAATCTAAATTATTAATTGATCTTACTATAAGCACTTTGAAAGAGGCACAAAAATTGAATTCAAAAAGGTGCGCGTGTGTTGCTATTATTGTTGTATCGTTATTGTCAACAAATTGTATAATAATAATAATTTATTGATTTATAGTGGAGTTCGACTCTTTCAAGCTACACTTGATTTATTTGATTTGTATTGTGCTATTATGCCTATATATTATCATGATAAACTTAGTGAGGTGCCTGCATTAACTATGTTATTTCGCAATGATTGTATATGGTTAGCTGATCAATTGTTGGATATTCAAGAACAATATAACAATAATGAAAAACAGTTTATTCTGGATCCATTAAATACTTTTAATGCAACAAAAACTAATATTTTTTATAATAAGATGGTAAATAAACTGTGTGGGTTGGGTAAAGAATGGTATGATCTTCAGTTGGTAAGTGGATATTGTCATTATTTTATTTTTACAAATCCTAATACTAATACTGATGTTATTTTTTTTTCATATAAAAAACATTTAAAAGGATAAGCAAAAATCAGGTTTAAAAGAGATCTTAGATGAAATGGGCGGATTTGCACAAAGTGCAACCGATGAAAAATTTGAAGCTTGTCAAAGAGGAATGAATCAAGTTGTTCACACTATAAATCATTTATCAAAAATCTTGGATGTTAGTTACAAATAATTTGCCAACTTTTATTTTAAAAAATTGTGTGCTAGTAAAGTTTGATTTATTTAATTATTTAATCACACATATATTTATTTGTATAGGGTGTGTTACGTCCAATAGAGCTTTATAGTGTTTTAGGAGAATTGATAGATTATGTATTAATGCAAGTTATTGATAATATAGAAGATTTATATGACATTTCAGCTGAAGAATCTGAACAATTAAATAAGATATGTGTAATGTTGTATCAATTAGAAAAATTATTTAAATCAACCGAGGTAAATAAAATATCATTTAAATTATTTAAATCATATACAACACTTTTATATTTGTCAATTAACAATGTTAAAAATTTTTTTTCAGCCATATAAAATAACAAACCATGTAGAAAATTGGATAAAATTTAAGCATATAACAGACATCTTAACAATCTCATTAGCAGAAATTATGAAAAGATTCCATAGTGGATATTTGAGAAGTTTCAGCATTGATGAATTAGAAGGACTTGTATGTGCATTATTCGCTGATAGTACTTTAAGAGAAAATAGTTTATCAGAGATTAGGGAAGGTCATCCTATTTAATTAATAATTCTAAAAAAAATATAACTTATATAATAATAGTTTTAATCTTAATTTGTATAGCATGGTGGCATTGTTACATATAAACAAACAAACGTTTTTTTATAAATTTGATTATTAAAAGTTTGTAATTCAGAAACGGATCATCATTCCGAGAGGTGACAATTATTAGCATGCGCGTACCATATATGTTGAAATTCTTTGTGGAAACTGAATATCTTGCACGTAAAGTAAATGTTATTACCTTTCGGGGGAAGGAAGATCTTCCCATTTCCAAAAATTTCAGAACATATTAAATATTAATATTATTATGCTGATCATAAGCGCAGGGATGTTAATTTGTTTCGATAGAGCATAACTAAACTAATTTAATGTTTTTAATATCCGCTCGAAGCGCGCTTCAAACATGCTTTCAATTATACTTTAAAAATTACATCATAAATAGTTTGATTTATTAGCAGAGTATGTTTGAAGCACATGCTCAAGAAAATTCATAGAGTAACGGTAAATAAATAAAAATATGAATTGCCAAAATGTAACATTTACTTTATTGTGCATAGAGATGAAAGCAATATGATTGTTGACAGATTTGGAGTGAGTAAATTTGGCTCTAACTTAGTATGCCTAAGAATATTTATATGGTGCAAGGCAACCTATACTCGTCAAAGTTTACGGACGTTTTAAAATGTAAATTTCGTGCTACAAAGAAAAGACGCAGATCAGACCAATCAATTACAACCGATCGCGTCTTTATCATCAATAAAGAAAATTATTAATTATATTGTAAATCAAAATAAAATGAATACCACTGACTTCAAATTATAAAAATCAAAACAAGAAGTGTAGAAGGTAAGTATGAGCCACGATCATTACAATGAAGAATAGAAAAGGAGAATAATAATTGACTTTTTTCTTTTTCCGTTCCCTTTAATACATATTAATATCTAAAAGAAATACTTTTGTTTTTGTATAAAAAATTTGTTGAAACTATAATATATGCATGTAATTACAATCACTTGGAAACTTATTTTTGGAAAAATGATTCTGTGTTAATTATAAAACAACACTTGCTATCCTATTTTTGCATTAAAATCAAAGCTAGGTAGGTAATTGGGTAAGTGATATTTGAAGATAGAAATTGATTTAGAAATGATTTTTTTTATTGAAGTCTTGCATAGCAAAATCTAAAATATCAACGTCAATGTTCTTACTTCTTTATAACATATTTATTTACTTATTTAATAAATCCTTCTGGGTGATCTTACAAATTCTAGTCATTAAACTGGCAGGAATGAATCTTCCATACATTCTAAAGACTATTTTTTTAAAATAAGCATTTTGACGAAATATAGTACCTACACATAAGAGAATAACAGAATATAATGGTAATGTTGTGAAAAGATAAGCTAATCGAAATGACCAAGGTCCTTCAATGAAGCTTCCTTTATAGTGAAAGGTTTAGTTAGGTCAATTGTTTATTTAGTTTTTAAACAAATATGTTTGATATATTTACCATCTATTCCAAATATATCATTGACTATTGGTCTAACAACTCTAACAGTTGTTGAGCCAGTAATTCCAAAAACAATAAATCTTATAACCCATTCTTTCCACCAAAGCCATTCCCAACGTCTGAATTCTCTATTATTATTATTATTATTATTATTATTATTATTATTACCATCATCGCCACCGAAATTATTTTCGTTATAACTACTAACACTGAAATGTCTAATTACAGAATTAGTTAATATCGATAATTTATTATTATTATTAACTTTGTGTGATAAGAATGAAGATGGATTTGACAAAATTTTTGTTATTGTTTCTGTTGATGGTTTATTACTAAACATTTTGGAGTATAGTATTAATCGTGGTGACAATGACTGATTTAAATGCTTGATATTTATTTTAATACGAAAGGAGTGTGAAAAAAACTTAACAGAACGAAAAGGAATTAACATTTTTTTAAAATTTTTTTTTTTTTCAATATTAATATTGTTACACTAGTCAGTTTATCATTTATCATTCATCATTCCAACAGTCACATAATTGACCAATACTGATTTAAATCGAAGATGGATATTAATATATGGTGTAGATCATCTATAATCAATTAATTGCTTATAGTAACAATTGGCCAGCTTCAAAATACTAAAACAAAAAATTTTTATATCATTTTAAAAAAGTTAACCGATAAATTTTATTGTTCATGACTCAAGCTTCAAAACTTATCAGCTAGTTTTTCTTAAATTAAAAATTGGCAGAGCCTTAGCATTTTGAAATTTCAAATTTTGCTATACACTTAAGAAATTGAGACTGATAAAATGAGCTGGGCGTTGTAGATCATATATGACAGATAAAAAAATTTTCATGTATATTTTTTTCAATTGAAACATGTATTTAGAGAATTTTAATTTATTAATCCTTCATTATTAATTTTTTTAGTCTTTTGTATTCCTCTGTAACATCTTTTGAATATTTAACTTGAGAAAAATCAAATTTTAAGATTCAAAGTTTATTTAAAGGATTTACCCAACATATATTTGTCCTTCTGCAAATATGTTTTCATCTACAGATATGGTTATGTGAGGTAGGGTTCGGCTTTGTGTTTTATGAACAGTAAGGGCAAAGGCATTTTGAAGTGGAAATTGTTTTCTTGAAGCTCTCTTTCCATCAATTTCAAAGTAATATGTTTCTTTTTGAACTACTACTTTTTTATATACTGTTAAGTGTAGGAAAGGTCACTTCTACGTCAATTATTTTTGTTACAATTCCTATTGTGCCATTACAAATGTTTTGTTCAAATAATTTATTATTGAGAAATATAGTTTGGCACCTTCTTGTAGCTTTTTTAAATTGATTTTCATAATGTTGTTCTTTATGCAAGGATTCAAAATTCAATGTGTCTAGAATTTGAAATGATTGGGTCATTACAAATTTTGTCAAATGAAGGAGATTCACACATTAACATATTAATATCATCTGCAGCTTGACAAATACCAACTACAGTTTACTCTCTCTATAACGGATCTTTCTATAACGGATTTTATTAGTTAAATTTTATATAATGTATAACGGACAGCACCCCGAAAACATTCTATATAAATCCCTCTTTCTATACCGGATTCACATGATTTCAAAACTACACAGTGAGTCTTGGTATAACGAATATGTTTGTTCCGGGAAATTTTATTATTATCCGCTATACCGAGTCATCCGTAATACCGAGATATCCGTAAAAAATCGAATTTTTGATTAAATCATGTGATACATGTTACGTATAATAATGATGATAATAAAAATACAGTTGGTAAAAAATTAAAAAAAAAAACAATTCATTCACTTAAAACGTTGACATTATAATAATCTTCCATTCTTGTTTGCACTTGTTCTTGAGAATTTTTGTAAGAAATTTCACTTTTTAATCTTTTGACATTTCTAATTACTTGAAAATCAATATCTAAAATTTTTTGCTGTACATATTTAAGTATAGTTTCCGGAGCTTTTATAGCTTCCATATTAATGATCATCAGCTTAGGTTCATTTGTTTCATTTGTTTCATCGTCATCGACTTCACTTTGTTCTTTTACAATATTTACGATTTTAGAATATAAAGAAATAAAAGGAAATGACATATTGATAGTGTCATTGCCAAGAAATAGCTAGAAATATGTTAGATTAAATTGTGGATGTATTGCTGATTATTTTACATTCTTAATATTAATAATTGCGCGTCATTACTCTTATTAACCCAAAATAGTAAAGATCATCGTTATCCGTAATATCGAGAAAAATTTATTAGAAGTACAGTCCCTTGAAAAAAGTATCGCTTCACCTGATGATCGACGAAAATAATTGGATAACTTCTGTGATATAAAAAGTCATGATTTTACTAACCAAGTCGATGTTGTGTAATAACAAAAAAATCATTTTCATAATGATTTCTATAACATATTCAAGTTTCACAACATAAAATTAATTATTGGTAATTTTATGATCTTTAAAAGACAAAAAAAAAATTTCCGGAAATTTTCAAAAAAACTTGAGATTAGAGCCAACTTTAGATGACATGTTTTAACACATTTTGAGAGCTTAGTAAATGTTGTTTCTTTTATCTTCAAATGTATACTTATGAAATCTCACAATTAATTGTCGGATATTGGTCAAGTATCGAACTGAAACGTAAAAATAATTTTTATGAAGTTTACTAGCTATTTGCACAATATTTTACATATTAACTTGTAATAAAATATACACTAAAAGAATCAAAAAAAGATAGAGAATTTGGTTATTTATTAGTATTTTGTCGGGTTTCCTTTAGAATTAATTACAGCTGCAACTCTTCTTGGCATAGAATTAACTAAATTTTGTAAAAAATTACGGTCAAGCTTCTCCCACTCTTCATTTAAATAAATAGATAATTCTTCAATATTTTTTGGATGTGGTTTTCGATTATGAACTGCCTTTTCTAAATAATCCCAAACATGTTCAATTGGGTTGAGATCAGGACTCTGGGCAGGCCAAGGAAGAGAAGAAATTAAATTATCTTCTTTCCATTTAAGCACCGCCTTTGCAGTATGAACCGGTGCATTATCATCTTGAAATATATTTAAATCAGTTCCTAATTCGTTCATAAAAGGTAATAAATAATTTTCTAAAAGCTCTTGATATTTTTTACCAGTTATTTTACCTTCTAATATTACCAAGGGTCCTGGTTGATTGTTCACAAAACAACCCCACACCATTATTCCTCCCCCACCATGTTTAAAAGTAGGAATAAGACAGTCAACATCATACTTTTCTTTTGGAACTCTCCAAACTCTCTGCCGTCCATCAGAATGATGCAAGTTGAATTTTGATTCATCACTCCAAATAATATTACTCCAGTCATCAACGTTCCAATTTTTTCTTTCTCTGCACCAACTAAATCGTTTTTTTCGATTAACTTCAGAAACAAAAGGTTTCCTCAATGCAGCTCGACTATAATATCCTTCTTCATGGAGATAGTTACGAATTGTTCGATCACAAATAGGATTGTCTGTGGTTTCATTTAATATGTTAGTTATCTCTCTAGCAGGAGTAAAACGATTTTTTATAACAATTCTTTTTAAAGTCCTAGAGTCTCGATCCGTTAAACTTTTTGGTCTTCCACTTCTAGATAAAACAGTAATTTGACCTTTTTCGCGATATGCTTTTATTGCACGCTGTACTTGTGTTTGAGTATGACCAATGGCATTTGCTATTTCTCAAGTTGCTTGACCAGCTTCCCAATGACCAATTATTCTTCCTCTTTCAGTATTTTCAGTATTTTGTGCATGATAAACTGCCAAATTTTCTTTGTCTAAACACCAAGTTTCCTCAATTTCTAATGCTCTTTCGAACCCTTGTCTTTCTAGTTTATTACCTGGTTGTTTTCAGGGTTTGCGACATCTTCAGGTCTTTTATCACCACCAAAACTTGCTGGGCTATTTATGACATAATTAATATATTTTAAGTCACAAAGACCTAACACATATTCATGCTTTCATTCTCCAATTCTCCCAGATAATTATCAATATATTCCACGGGATTTCTTTTTTAACAAACACGCTTCAATGCATTGCTTCCAAGTGAAATAGTTTTACCACAGAAATAACTTGTTAGCACTGATAAATTAACAAATGAAGGAAGTTTTTTATTTTTTATTTTTTATTTTTATTTTTAAAAATCTATCCGTTCACAGACCCCAATCAATTTTCTACAATTAAAAAATATCGGAAAGCTTGATATTAGTATTAGTCCCATTGATAATAATGACCATCATTCTTTAATTTGTTATCGACTAATCTACTACCACTAATGCTATAATTAATCCAAGAAACATCAAAACGTGAGATATTTGATAGAATAAACAACTATAGTAATGTCATCAACAACAACAGCATTAATGCCACCACATCATTCCAAAGGATGAGCCAGAAGAGATAACTATAGAAAAGAAAAAAATGAAGAAAAGAGCCATGACTACAAAAAATAAAAAGTCTAGAAAATTGCTAGAAGCACCTTGACAAACATTGACAATTGACTTGGAAGGGAAACCAATTGGAGCTTTCATGTGAAAAAGAAAGATCTTGCTTTGATTGATCTTCCTGCACAATACTTGGAAGCAAAGAAACAGTAGTTAAACCAACGTAAACAAAGTTAGCAAATTATGAAAATTCTCTAAATGTCATTAAACGATAACTTTTTCTTTATTTATTTCTTGGTATTTTTTTTATTTTATTTTAATCAAAGATTTATTCAATTAAATTTTTATCATCAACAACAATATAATCACTTTAGATGTGGTCGGTCAACTATAGATATATAATCAATATAATCATATATAATCTTAAATAAATTTTAATAATAATTTAATCAAATTAATCGAATTGAATTTCAAAATAACATAAAATATGAAAAGAAAATTTCACTTGATCAATATTTAAACTTTGAATCCACGAGAAGCTCTACGACCACGCGCCTTTTCAAACTTTCTTCCCTTTGAACGAACATAAGGTCTTTTATACAAAGAAAAAAAAAAAATTTTCAATCAATCAATCAATCAAGCAAAAAAATGGTGAATAAACAAAATAATAAGATCATTATTATACTTGGCATTTTTATGTGGACCCATTCCAAAATGTCTGATAGCTTCTCTTGATTTTGGACCTCTTAAAAGTACAGTATTAGAACCAATTGGTGAGCGTAAAGCCAATTGGTCAAGTGTAAGAACTTCACCACCAGCTTTTAAGATCCTTGCTTTAGCGGTTTTTGTTATACGAAGTGCCGCAACTGACATCTTTGGTACATCTAAAACTCGATTGTCATC